CAAGTTATATTTAATAGGCAGTCTTAATGCTCAAGTAAAGGTTGTGGACCTGCCGATAAACTTCTCAGAGAATATGCAGGAATACTCGGGAAATCAATCTGAGGTTTGCACAACTAATAGTTAAAAGGTATCATATATTTTACCACCATCAAACTCCAGGTAGATTGAAATTCTAATAGCACTTCCTTGACTCACCACAGTTACGGTTTGTAATGAAACCAAAAGGTTACAAGACATAAGTATCTGATGGTTCCAATCAGTAAGTTGTGATGAATGGCGGTGATGAATTTTTGACTGGATTAACTGAGGTAGTTCATAAGAAGCGGATGGAATTTCAGTCTATATTTCAAGACATTGTAAGCTGGTGCATTTGATTCTACCTTGTGGCTTTTTATGTTTAAATGAGACTGGACATAATTTGAGAAAATGACCTAATCTATGTAAATGTAGAGAATGGATAAAATATTGGAAGTACAGTAAAGTGTTCGAGTGAAATCTCCAGGAGATATGCAATGTTTATGATTGACAACGGCATCGTACTCCTCTATGCCACAAGCAAAATATTATACAACATCAATCTAGAAAGACTGAAGGGAGTCTCAAATGTAACGATTCGCCCGGAACAGGTTGGATTCGGGAAAAACACAAAGTAATCCACGACGGAAAGCTTGCTGAAGCGTTTGAAATGGAGATAGGAGTAGGAGAGGGCTAGCTGCTGTCACCTATGATCTTCCTGATTGTGAAGGATTTGGTCAAATGATAGACCGTGTGTGGGCACCAAGAGGATGGACATACGTTAGAATGAGAAAAAGAACTAAGTAGGTCAGGATTTCACATATAATTTCTGTATCGCCTATCAAAAACTTGAAGGTTTACGAGGGAAAAACAGCTAGTTGTCATAAAAAGTGCAAAGACAAGACTTCAGGTGAACACGGATAGTAGAGAGGTGAATAAGTTATCTGACCAATAACAACAGTCCCTAATGACTGCTGAAGCGAAAAATCTAAATGATGTGATCTTGTCCGCTTACTTGGTCATCATCCGCCACAATACTGGTGAAACATGTGAGGATTTTAAAGTCAGTCAGGAGCGCATCGAGGAAGCGAAACAAAGGCTTATTATTCTGAAATCAGCGTAGTGATCTCGGCATGAAGAAAGATATTCAAATTTTTAGCATCAGTGTCAATGTCACTAAATTCATTTCCAACACAATTCAGGCCTTCATCAGCACCTGCTTCCCCTGACTCGGTAATTAAGGTGAGATTGTCAGCAGAATAGATAAGCACCTAGGAACTCTGACAGGTAGAGAGTCAGCTAAGACTCTATTGCCCATTAAATATGCATAATGAAATAGAAGTGGATCAAACATACCCTGAGGTGAATTTTGTGTGATATCAGGCAGCCTTAAATCGCTACTCCATACTAATACACAGTCCACCTATAGATCTCTTTAGGTCAGGGCCACAAAACACATCCTCAAGTGGCTGCAAGAACAAATAAAATCACCGGATACAATTAATTCCAGAAACAGACATCCAGCATCACCTATCGCAAAGCACATCATAGAGACAGACCACACAGTTGATCCTAATGATGCCTTTGAAGGCAAGTTTGGATTGTACACCTTAATTCGTTGAAGCCTTAGTTATGAAAAGGCATAAACCTGTTTTGTGTTCAAAAACCACTTGTCATTACTCTGAACCTGCCTTGGTAATCCGATTCTATAACCAGGGTTCATTTTACCTAATAATATTTTCACCCGCCTCCTTTTCGATTCCATTATCTTACCTCAGTTTCCCACCTCATCCGTGACCATGATCTGTAAACATTTTGACTATATTGATAAAAATTGTATTTCTTTATGCTCTGTTACCTTCTATATGGATATGAATGACAAGTAGGGGTGTGATGAGAACGTCCGTAATTCGTGTCGCAAGTACACTACACGTTCCAAATAAATTACGTCTTCCTATTGTTTTATCAGCGTTCATATAGGGAACTTATTGCTTTAAATTATCATAATTATTATTTTCCCTAATATTATTCGTAGTATTGTTCATCAATAACCTGTAACTTTGCTTAGATAGAGGACAGAATAAAGTTCAGTACTTGCCCATCTTGTCAACGCACTTTAAAAGCTGTTTAGTGTATTTCACTCAACCTTTTGCATGCCCCACGAATAAAAATTTTATATACTGCAGGTGTGGTGGAAATTCATCTGAATAAGCGAAATCTATCTATTCAAAATAAATTGATGCAGCGACTGTGTTTGTCTTGACCACCTGTGTAATATATATAAAGTCTTGCAAATGATTTTTCCCAATACTAGCAACTAACATTTAAATTTGTTGTTTTATTATGCTTACTATTCCAGATAATTTGACTAACTTATTTGTATCTTAGTGCTCTGACTTATTCATTTTTTCTTTTTAGTTATTATTATGTGCGTCGGTGGAACAGCGGTTAGGAAGCTTGCCGACCATGCACTTGGTCCGGGGTTCGATCTCCGGCCGACATACTCCTTTACCTCGCTAAGCCTCTAGCTTGAAGCCCTATGTTTCACTGGGAACGTAAAGGAATGAAAAATGTCATTATTATGTTCCAAGGTCCTGACTATGAAGTGGCTTGTTGATAACCTCTACAAAGTACGTGATCGTGAATCTCTTAATTGTTGTCATCCCCTTCTCTACCTCAGAATCTATATTTCTTAATGACTACCAAACAGTTGCTAACTTTTACAAATTCACTATCTTGATTTTTCGTTTTCAATTATTAACATCCCTCCTATACGTCAAAACTAATAATGCTTATTGGCTGACATCATCACGTAGTTGGTATAATTTGAAGGCAAAATTTCATATAATGGTGGAGAGCTGTTGATGTGGAACTGATTGAGAAGGAATTTGTATTTCTTCGGTCAACTTGTTGTTTTTTCTAAACATTGTATTTCCCATAGAGATTTTATTTGAACACTTTACCTTAGTTCCACTGTTTCGTCAATTCTGTATATTCAGATAGATTGATCGTTTTTGCAACTATTACGTGTTACCAACTACCGTTTCGTAATCCCCACTTGTGCATTCCTGTGTAGATTAGCAGTCACATTACTCAAAACATAATTGCCAGTATCTGATTGGTCTTATGAATTATCTGTTGAATATAAGTACGACTGTACGGCCTTCGAAAAAGATTCGCCGAAAAAAGAATTCCTTTCACAGTTACGTCCTCTTTTTATCAAAATACAATATAGAAATTAGCATTAATTTTAAATTACATCAAAGTTATGACTAGATATAGTTTTATGCCCAATCTAGAATAATCTAAACAATTCAATTTTTCCTATTTATTTCATATGACTTAAGACTGAACAAATATTGTTTTAATCTGTTCTATAGAGTCCAGTATTATTATCTAAATCCCACTCCACTTAATCATTTCAGCACTATATGGAGTACGAGATTCCGAGATAACTCCAGAGGGATGGTTTTAACCGTTGATCTTCCCAGAAATGGAGTAAATTACCTATGACAATCGCAGGGGGGGGGGGAAATATGTGATTAACATTCAAAATCATGGGATTTAAAAGTCATTAGAAAGATGAATAGGATTAAGCGACAACAAAATCAACAGAACCAAGTGAGTTTCAGTATTTAACGACAGTGCACTTCATCAGACTTTGATCTTTTTTAAATGTTTTTACGACATATTCCTGAAATAATCAAAGCATACGTCATGATTTCGTATACGTGCTTACACAAAAGTGTTTAATGTTTAATATAATCACTCTAATTTCTCTTCATTATGGACATAATAATATTATTATTGTCCACTTGGATTTCGAATGCAACATAGGGCTTAAACAGCACATCTTTATGTTATGTTCTATGCTATTCTCTTTATCTGGCCCCCTGGTAGCCTGTAGACTCTCATCTTCTCCTCGCACGATCTCCAACATGTCACCCTCGCACAGACAGCGCACTAGTTGTTTTCCATTCGGATTCCACTCGACGGCTTGGCTGGCGATGTTACCTGATAGTTTCCTCAGAGTGTGGCCGATCCATTTCAGTTTTCTTTCGCATGTTTCTGAAGCAATAGGATTTTGGTCAGTTCGTTCACAGAGTTTCATGATGCTAATACTCCCTGAAAATTTGATCTTCAGTATGAAGCCAGCAAAGACAGCTTTTGGCGAAAGTCTGCTACCTGTTGGAAATTCTTTCCGTGACACGCCAAGTAGCTGAGCCGTATAGAAGGACCTACTTGGCATTGGTGTTGAAAATGCGAATCCTGTTCCTTGTGATGGTGAGTGCGGAAGATTTCCAAACTGGTTTCAGAATAATGTACGTGTATCTTGGCTTTCCGATTCCGGCTGGCTTTGACATCTTCATCCGTTCCGTTGGCCTGTATCTGCAACGATGCTTCCCAGATAAGTGAAGGAGGTAACCTCTTTTAAATCTCGCCCGTTGATGGTGATTAGTGGTGGTTGTTGTTACTGTTTGTTGATTATCTTTGTTGCCAGCGTCTTCTCTATATTAACTTGGAGTCCTGTTTTCGCTGCCTCTTCAGCCAGTTTGTTGGTTTTCCAACAGGCAGCAGACTTCCATCAACAGCTGCCTTCGCTGGCTCCCCACTGAAGATCAAATAGCCAGAAAGAATAAACTACAAGATACTATATATACAAAGCAGTAGGCGAGAGCCAATCGCTCAACAAATATGTTGGAGAAATTGGAGCTGGATCGGGCATGCATTGAGGAGGCCGCATAATGACATCGCACACAATTCAGGCCATCACTCCAGTGGAATCAAAATGGTAAGCGACGAGTGGGCTGTCGGTGCGAGGGTGACATGTAGGAGATCGTGTGAGGAAGAGATGAGAGAGTTTGGTCAATCGTGGACCTAGATGAAGAGGATAGCAGAAAACAGAACAAAGTGGGGATGTGTTGTTGAAGCCCTGTGCTCCACTAGGAACGTAAGGGAATAATAGTAATCAGACAAAGACTTACCATTTTACAGAAACCTTGACTATCCAACAACAGGTTTTCCGGTTTTAAATCACGATAAACAATTCCTTTTCTGTGCAGATAATTTAACGCTTCAACCACGCATGCAGAATAAAATCTTGCTGTAGAGTCATCAAATGATGTAGAGTTGCGCAGTAGAGTCCATAACTCACCGCCAAGACATACTTCCAATAAAAGATACAGATAGCGGTTATCTCTGTATGTTCGATATAATCTGCAAAAACGCACAGAAAATAAGAAATACCTGGGGAAGTTTATGACAAGGAGTTTCTATGTTATCCTAAATAAATATCAGCTACTCTCAAACCTGGCCATTGCAAGTCAGAATTTCCTGTGTTGTTGTTATCAACGATATTATTATTATCATTGTTCATACCTGCATGATTTGTAACATTTGTAACATGATCCACGAATCACCATCACTGGTTAAAATGTTGAACGTATATTTAGAGCTGTGTTTTCGAGTCAGATCTAATTAAACATAATATTGTTACCTTTCTGACTTATTTCCAAGTGTCTTATTTCATTTTTAACGATAGAAATTTTCGGGTGAGGATAAAAGCAATCGTGAAGTTATTTTGTGCATAGCATGGCAAACGCAACAATAAGAATTCCGCTGAGTAGAAAAGTAGATAAAATACCCTTAAAACAGTTGAAGATAACATTTGATTTGATCACAGCTGTCCTCTAGGCATGTAATACAAAATCATACAAGGCCGGCAATCGTGATTCACCACCTCCATCTGTCTATTCAAGTAGACGGAAACAAAAGCGCGGAGAGTTTGTTTTGCTGTAACTTACATACTCAGCCGAATTTTTATCATGTTAACCACTGTCAGTCAACTCCACATTTATTACTATAATTGCTTCCTTTTTACTATCTATCTGAAGAATATTATACACTAATATTCAATGAACGTTAAGGTGTAGAAGATTCAACATACATATGTGTTATTTTTAAAATATATTTCAGATAAAACGGAAATTAAGTGAAAAAAACAACTAATCTTATTGAACACCACCAGCTAGATCAAATAAATAAATTTATATAAACAATTATTGCATAAACCTCATGAGTAAAATAAAACTACTTAAATGATGATACTACAGTAAATACTGGAATATCCTATGGGAATCATTTGAATATTGCTTGTAAACAAAATCGATTTATCTGGCCTTTATTCCACCAATTGACGGTACAAAGGAAATTTAATTAACAAATCTACAAAAATGGATGTTTTACCAGTTGAAGTAACAACAACAAAAGAATTCAACTGTAATTCTCCACATAAATAGCCTAAAGATAATCTTAGTGGTTAAGAGCTAAAGATGGACTAACCGATAATTTATTAACTTTATTCTTCAGAAAAAGGCTTACTGTACAGTAATTAAACTGATCACTGATATTGATGCTAGAGAAATTATGGGCTTAGGTCCTACTTTTAGTAGTAATGCGTTTCTGCAATAGCAATGATATCTTCCGAGAGATTCAAACCCCTCGAAAGGGTGTTACCTATGAATCATTCAGGTGGATGGTTAACTTCTTATAAAGAATAAATAGATTGGTCACTGGGGAGTTGTAATAAGTGTCCTGTCCTAAGTATCACTCCTGACATTCTAGTCTCAAGAAATAGAATGAGACTGACTCAGAAATCCGTTAGTGTCACATTACTCATCAATAAATTTAAAGAACTACATTAATCCGACTGTGATGTTATTTTTTGTTTACAGCTTGATTCCACACCATATTTTTTGGTAAAGGTATGGAATTTTCATCATGTGATATCGGTAGCCCAAATTTTGCAGGCCGACCATGGATATCAGGTGTGCGTCGGCAGGGGATCGAACCCCGGACCATGTGCATGGTCGGCGAGAGTCCTAACCACTGTGCCACCGACGCACAATGGTTTCTAGACACTGATAAAGCTAAAAACATTTTTGTTGAGTAACAGATAAACATTTGATATTGTGGGCAGTGGTGTTAGGCAACCTTTCAGATGCTTATCGATGTTTCAGGTATTCTCTTTGTTGCTGTTTATCGCAGTTTTAGCAATCAATTTAAGCAAATATCTATGTTTACATACTCTCTCTAGTGTATTCGAGGCACGTGGTTTGCTTAATAAATCTATGCGAATCTACTGTATTACCCTATACTTGAAAGGATAACATGATTTCGGTTAACAGAAGACTCCAGAATAATAAGGAAAATGTGTTCAGAAGTTATGTATTTATATATATATATATGTATATATTACACTAAAGATTCAAGTTAACCAAGAAGTTTTGGATACGCTGAAAATGGATTCGTGTAAGAAGAACAACATGCTCTTTGATACATTCAAAGGTAGACAGGTGACCTTCCCATTTTAAATATAATTCTGTACGCAAATTTACAAATAACCATGGCAACAGTTACACTGAGAAAACGGAAAGAAAGATATGTCTCAGATTTTCTTATTATGAAGCAAAAAGTGTACAGCTCAAGGAAACAAATGATTGCAGCTGTGTCATGAGTGGGGATGGTGTTTTTAGGATGAAACATACGCTTCATTTCATCTCATATATTCTGAAATTATTACCATCAAATGACTGCAATCGAATTTATATCGTTAAAAAGAAGCCGTTATAGTCTTTCTTCACTTCACTGATGAATCAGTCTCTTCACTCTTCACCGTATTTGATTACACAACCTCTGGCTTAACATTTTTATTTGAAAAAATTTTTTGTTGCTGTCTCTACCAAATGAGTTGAACTCACCACAACGTATTAGTTAATAATTACTAACTTATCCCTCACTTTTCTTTCTACAGCAACTTATCTTTAAAAGTACCCAAACCTTCTTATTAAAATTGAAGGTTTAGTGCATAAGATGCGTAAATGTCTGAGTACATTTTGTTTATAGATCTGGACTTTCCTGTTATTTCACAACACATTATCACTTTAAGTACATATACTTAAAATTTCATAGGTTTGATGAGCCTGCTTCAACTGTTGTTTTCTCTTTACGCAACTATTGTCTTACAGTCATTGTATTAAAATACTATAGATCAACTGTGAAATAAAAATAATATACATAGTTTTTAATCTAACTGTGTACATACACACCTGACAGCTGTTCAAATATACTTTCTTCATATATAAAACCATAAATTAAGTAAACCGACCACAGAGCTTTATGTGTCTATAGCACAGGAAGAAACAGTGAAATCATTGGATGAATGATGTATTGTTTACAAATTTTGTTCACGCCACATTTACTCAACAGTGTGTATGCATTAATTTATACTGTTCCTTACAAACATCTTATAATTATATTGAAAACACCCTTCCTGTCAATCTTGTTTGTTTTCTCATATTACACTGAGGTTGTTTTTCTTTTTAGCTGTTGAAAATTGTACGACACACTAAGTTTATATCACTAAATTTGGACAGCTAATCAACAGTATGAATGATTGAAGAAACTTTGATTTAATTGTTGACAAAACACTACTGAAAAGAAACTGTGGTCATTAATTAGGTTTTTTTTAAAACAGTGAAATTCAAATGTAGAAAAATAATACTTAAAAGTTTAAACCAAAAAAAGAAATCTGAATAAGTATTAGTGTTTAGATTCCTGAAAAAACAACCTGTTATTAGGTCCTCTGAGTTGAAATCTGTCACCCTGTGCTATAAAATACTTGTATTCTGTTCTAAACAATAACAGCAACATATTTTAGCAGCTGGTTATCAAGGAGGAAGATCTAACTTAGTAGTTTACTTGAGGCATTTAGTATACCGTTGGAGAAATTCAGTGAAATGCTTTTTGTTGAAAATGTTTAGTGAACTCATATTACTTCTAACATATCAACCCTCTTATATCCAAGCACTGTAGATAATTACACAACTGAACTGTCGTCATCTTAATTGATTTCTTTCAAATATAAAGTAACTAGTCACAAGGGAGTAAACACTGTTACATTTATATTCCCTGCTGGTCCATGAAGTCTACTAGTTTAATATGCCTTTCTGATAGTCAACCTTGAAACATACGCCCACAGCCTCTTGTTGATTACTTCCAACCATTCAACATTGATAGATAAAGTGTGTATATATATAGGAGTAGGAATTATCTAATATGTATTTCCTGCACTAAGTAAAAATTACAAACTTGTTAAAAATGAATCCCCAGGCTAGTTTCGGATTTTGAGAAATTTTGTGCATTACAACACTTGGTAAACAATTTTGGTTAAAACACAGTGAACACTTCAGGTATCTGGACAACTGACATGATGCCTTATGCAAGTTAATCAATAGTTGATATACGTATAAAACTTGGACACTGTGGTAGAGTATAACTCCATTGTGGATAAGCTTTTATTTTGATAAATCACACAGTGTTATACAGTATACTGATATCTATGGTCAGCCTGCTAAATTTGGGCTACCGATATCACATGCTGAAAATGTCATACTTGTACCAAAATACCGTGTGAAATCAAGCTATAATAAAATATAAAAAATATAAGTGATGACGTTTTGAGCACAAACTACTGCTCATAATCATATCAAGTTGTGTGAGTAACTTGATATGATTATGAGCAGTAGTTTGTGCTCGAAACGTCATCAGTCAATATTACTGTGTAACACTGTGTGATTTATCAAAATAAAATCTTATGCATAATGGAGTTAATCAATCGTCACCTGTGAGAATAATATTCATTTCTATATAGTCGGTCTTACGTTGGTCTATTTTATATGATTTCGACACTTATAATCCTGAAGTTACTTTGAACGCTAATTACAAATTAGCCACTTGGAACAAGTACAACAATAATCACAAGAGAGAAAATAGAAGAAAAAGTACATCTTCATTTCTAGAACTGTATAACATGTGTATCCCATGTTTTCATCTTTATTTCAGAAAGGCTTTATTATATTTCCTTAAGCTATGACGCGGGAATTTGAGAACATCTGATATGTTAACCTTTCAGAATACAAAATCCATGCAAGAAGGTTAATGAAACATCTTTTTATAGTGATATTCAGTGAGAAAGTTGAGTTTAAAATAACTTACTTTACAATAAAATCGTGATTAGCTTCTGTTAGAATATTCTTCTCATTTAAGACATGCTCTTGTTGCTTCGTTTCAACAATGTAATGTTTTTTTAATCTTTTCAGTGCAAAACACTGTCTTTTATCTTTGTTCAAATAAACCTGTTTTAAAAGTGGAAGAAAATTTGAGATAGAAGTGGTGGTAATTCCAAAAGCTGACAAAGATAATTCAATATGAACTTGATAAAAGGTACACACTGTGATTGTTAAGTATACAAGAAAATAGAAAATCAACAGATTTTAGCTTTTACAAGTCGATTGCCGGGACCTAATATTCGTAAATACAAACTGGAAGAACTATGTAAGACTATACTCATTATGGCATATTCGATGTACAACAAAAAGAATGAGAAAAATTTGTAAGATGATGCCTTCTGTCTTATGATATTTGATCGCACAAACAAATGTAGAGTTAATTTGCAGAGCAGTGCAGAGACATATCGGTTCTACGATTGTATGAAGCAGTAGATAGTGAAGATGACGACAGGTTTTTACAACACTAGGTTTTGTTGCGTTCTCATATCACATCGACAAAGATTCACTTCACTTATGGCATCAATTGCATCATTTGAACATTTCAAACACATCATTAGTGTCACATGATATTTAATCATTGTTAACGGGTATACTCACAGAGTAAACAGTACAGATGATATGCCAAGAGTCTGAAACGCTTTCCTTTCCTGAAAGTAAGTTGATACATCTGCTGTTTCTCTACAAAAACATGTTCAGTTTCTTTTGAGCGAACAAATGTTCCGGGGAATTTGTGGGATCCTTATGAGTTCACCTTTGGGCCTTGTTCTTACAGATATTTTAAGGACTATTATGAACAAACACAAGGGAACTCAGTAATAGTAAAGACTTCATATTACTTCAGACATGTTGATGACATACTGGTTGTTTATAGAAATATGAACGATGCATCCATAGTGTTTGATAACCTTAACGTACCTTATCTTCTCATAAATTTCACAGTGAATTATTAACATGACAACAAATTAAAATTTATTAATCTTAACACGAAACGGAAAATGATAGAACGATTGAAGAAAATATCTACAGCAAAATGAATTGCTTCAACTAATGACCTTTTATCGCACAATTTAAAATAGGGGCATGGTAAAAAGCCTCTCAGTAAAGCAATGCTGTTGTGTCCAAAAACAAAAATGGTGGGGAGTTTACAACTATTGAAAACGATCTTCTGGAGAAAAACGAAGCACCAAAACTGAATTCGGTAGCTGTTGAAACCGAGTTGTTTTTATTTGTCTCCAGTGAAAATGAGAAGAAATAGGAACAATAATCAGCACTGATCAGAAAAACACACGTCCATTAGATCGATTTTACTTTACATCACGAGAATCTTATGTAAACTCCGACTGCATTTATCAATTCACATGCATTTGCAGCAGCAGGTATATAAAAAGCTGTGTGTGGAGAGCGTCTATTAGATTCCTCGAGCGTATCCCTGACATTTAATTATGTATCTTAACTACATTGGTTTTTAATAGGCATACAACATCGTCGTTCGACAGGTAGTTTGGAAACTGACTCAGCATTACAGAGTTCAGTGCTGTAAACGTTTACAACCTCCATTCAATAGTTTTGATAAGATGCTACATGCCAACTGATTCACAATGGAAGCGAGGTATTTGAAGTGGAGATTAGGTGCCCATCCAGAAAGGAAAAGCAACAAGAAACTCTGTCAGGTAGCAGACCGGCCAACAACTTAGCACTCAACAAACATGCAGAAATAAATGGTGATGGGATGGAGGTACGCTGAGGAAACCACTGAGTGACATCAGACACCACGTATCTCGTGAAATAGAATCCGAATGGGAAGTGACGAGTTACTTTCGAGTCTGGGGGAGACATGGAGGCGATCACATGGACAGTAGATGAAAATTTGTGAGCAGTTGTGGAGTCAGTTGAAAATGACAGCAAAGAACTAGCTTTAATGGAGATGTAGCGCTAAAACTGTATGTTCCACTCGGAACGCAAAGAATAATAATATTCACCCCTCACAGTCTGTGTGTGAAGGTTAATGAGACTTCCAAAATTTCATTCAAACCCATATGGGTCATATAGTTGAGATTAATCAAGCCTGTAAATCAAATAAATTTAGGGATAATACCTTAGTCACTTCATTGTGCAGAAGCCACTAGTATCAACCCACTAAAACCTGATCCCCTTACGAAGACAGATAGTGTGATCACCGTCACACTAACTCGGTAACTGGATTTTTTCTGTTGCAGAAAAATGTTAATAATTCTCTCGAATAACTGATGTGTATGTTTATAAAATAATTTGCTTGTCCCATCTATTCATACCTAAGTATTTTAACCCCTTCCCTATAGTTTTTATTTTCGAAATTTCTGTCACATTTTATGTAGATAAATGCAAGATTATTACTAACTGCCGTTCCAATTAAAAATAACTTAAGGGTATGTTGCATATTTAAATTTATCCACTATATACTGTGATCTTAGGGCATTTTGTGCCTGAAAGAAGGCAATGAAATAAAAAAGCTCTTAATATCCTGCAAAGTTTTTCCCTTCGTTTTTGTCCAGAAGGAACGGACAGTTTTAAGTTAAGTATTTGTGCAATTACATGAATATACCAGTTTTGAACTGTACTGTTTTGTTGATGGAATCTTCATAGTACTATCTTTTAAAATCACATTTTTAAATTTTATTTAATTCTAATAGTTGCCGAATAAATGGTATGCTGAGCACGCACCAATTACTGATAATATTTAGCTTAGGATGACATACGAGGTTACAATCACCCTTAACTATCGCCGATTAAGCCAACCGTATCATGCATTATGTTGAGATTTATAATTAACTTTTGTATTGTAGTCATATAATTGATTTCAAGCCAGATTACTTGACGAATAGACAACAGTTCGAGAATCATGGAAATTCAATGAGCACTGAGCACTATTTTTATCCAGGTTTGGTACACTTCGGTGGCTCAAATCAGTCAACCTATCTGGCATCGAACCAAGAGCATAGATGTAACTTGGTGAGACTATTAACCGTCCAAGTACTGTTTGAGAATTCAACTATGCATTAATCATGACTTATGTGACTCTGAGCTTTATGATTCACCTGACAGGACGAACTTGATCAGGATTCAGAAGGTGTTTAGCTCAACACAATAAAAGCAAACTATATGCAATAAGACTAGGCAAACAAATGAGGAAATATTTAAGAACTTACTAACTGTACACGACCAAAACCACCAATCCCAATAGTTGAAACAACAGTGAAATCAGTAAGTTTGACATCAGAAAACTGTTTTTCCCTTTGGCTGCAAATAAAATCAACAAATTATGAAAGTTGTATCATTGATAATAAGAGTATCTCAGTTAGCTTTCACAAACCTAAACTTCTCCCTTTTTCAAGTCCTTTCTAGTACATGGCTAATTTTATTAACACATTTTTTGTATACAAATCCCATAACATGCTTAATACTCGAAGCTCTTATGTTCGGGAAATGATCACCACCATGACTGTTTTTGTTATTTCGTTAATAGTCGACGACCCTGCAAAAGGTATCATTAAATAAAGTCTATAACCCTTAAAAGTTACTCTTCAAGATAGCCTATTCAAACAAAGTGGATTTGTCCTACATTTAATCTATTTATCTTTAATGTGTATCTACTGAATTCCTTTCAGAGATTACTCTTACCTCCTTTAAAAAAATTGGCATTATGCGGTAAAAAGCAGATAAGTTTTCCCTTCCATGAGCGTTAATCTTTTACTTAGTTTCGCTGAATCTGTCTCATCCTTAACAATAAAACGGAATACTAAACAAACTTTGTCTTTACCTCGTCTAATGTATCTTGAACGCGAAAGCAAGATTTTAAATAATCTGACAAGTTCTTTAGTTTTATCAGTAATATACACAGTGGATCATTGCAGTTATTAAAAAGACGGTTGCAGCGAAGAAAATTTTCTTTTCAACAAAGCCATCAACTAGGCTGTACATTCCTGTATTTATAGTAAATGTGTGAGAAAGTTCCAGACCTATTTCGAGTCAAAGGTTGAATTAATAAAATTACAAAGTGTAATAAACAGGAAGATGGGGTAGAAAAGATATAATAAGATCATAATTACTGGAAAATTTGACTGTTTGTGGAATTACGGTTCAAAGATGTAGTAATGACAATGTAGGTAAGTAGTTAGGATATAAAAAATAAAAATATAACAAAAAAATCTACTAATTCAGATAGGGATTAAAAACGTAAAATTAACAGACATAAACAGGAATATTGGGCAAGAAAGGAAACAAAACAGTCATTACCGGTGAGATTGACTTTTCATGATAGCCATTGTAGGGACAATGGTTGGACGTATTTCTCCTAAAGACATAGCATGGGCTTGAGCTTCTGGGTCGCCAATGCCTCAGCTACTACACCTAGATGCCTTGATTTCACTCGCTTTGATGGTTGTGATCGGATCTTGCATTTGACTTTGAAGGACTTTTCAAATGCAGCTGAATGTCCTGGATTCAACAGATGTCCTGTTATCTTATATACATATATATATAAGGTATATATGTATATACCTTACCCCATTTTTTAACCATGCTGGATAGTGTTCCCGAGACGTATGGTATGGCCAATGTACTCAACTCCACAAGAACAAATGAACTGGTGGTCCAGTGTGACAGCTTCTATTTCACTTGCTGGTTGAATAGTCTCTTGCAGGAAAATGCTACTCGTAGGCTGGCGGCGAAGTATGTCTTACTGAGAGACTTCGAAAGCCAACTATGGAGAATTTCAACTTCGGTGTAAATTTTAAATTCCAGGTTAAGTATCAGCATCCTTTGTGATGTGACTTGGAACTTTTCCCGAGTTTTCTTTGGTTTTAGATTCTTGACTGTGAATCTGGGTGAGAAACCATTTTCTATCAAGATTTCGCAATTATTAGTCAATTTGCTCCTCAATGCATATTTCCCAGATCCTCAAGGAAAGAGAGTATATTAGGTTTCTCATTCTGCCTACATGCACACAACTTTGAAAGATGACAGACTGTCCCTTCCACGTGGGCTTTTTGTAGATGGATCTTCTCAGCATTTCTTCACAGCTGGACGTTAAGTTAATGAAACATTGAGTGAAGTTGATGTTTTGGTGGGTGTTATCTCAGGTTTAGACTAGGTTTTTTAGATCAAAATTCTATTAGTCATATTATAAGAGATAAACCAAGATAACAAATATTCATTATACAATGAACAAGCGATTATTGTTTTTATGATGTTCAGCACAGGTTGAGGATGAAATCTATATATGACATTATTTTATTTCTGAAATTTAAGTAACATTTAAGTCACATTCTCAACACCTTTTGTAAGGTTTGTGAGGAAATCCTATTCTTTCATCAGTTATTCATTCCCAACCAAATTAATTCCTCCAGTGTTCACTGGTTATTTATTTACGCTTGAAAATCAAAATCAGTGATATGAGCGAGTATTCGAACAATCGGCATAATTTCTCACAAAGTACGTCAATGAAACATTGTTTGAGGAGTGTCGTAAAAAAAAGACTTGTGCTAAACACTTATGCATCCTACTCTTGATGTATTTCACTACACTTAACACTTATGAAAGTGCGTTCAAGTGCTAAATATCCCTTTGCATATAATCAGTACGTATTTTTGTTTCAGTAATGATTGAAGTTGGGATAAAAGACAGAATCGCAGCAAGATTATTTGGTTGCCATTTACTAGGTGAGCTGTAAGACCCAGTCGCTAACTTGGTCATAATATAACCGTACTCGTCACTGGTTACTCTAATTATCGCACGAGTGAATAAGTAACTATCCGTTTACCATTATACTGGCGGCATAGCAGGGTCTTGCTTTATTTGTTCTAATCATGCCTATTTAGCAGAAGAGGGGGTTGTTTTTAACTGATGGTTAGACTGTCTCAAATATTCTTGGATTTTCGGAGTGTTATTGATGTATTTGGCAGGTAGACAGCTAGAGTAGCAAGGCCGGTGGTTCGAATCCTGCTGATGCATAGATGTTCACTTGAACTTCTCTCATCACCTATGTCATCGATAGTAGTCTGCTAATCATAGTCTATCATAGATAGTCTCAGCATCAACTTTTACTTTACCTGGTTTTACAAGTGATATAAACGGACTCAACAGAAAAGAAGAACTGTTCTCCTATTATTTATATAGACTAACGTCTTAAAAGTTTTTTTCTTTAACAGAAATATATCTATGAATGACTGGCAAGACAACGCTGATTAGTGGTTTATTACCACGCAAAACGCTAATCTGAGAAAAAAATCTACATTTCTTTCATAGAAATGTAAATCTCTTTAGTCTGTCTGATGATATTTAAAGACTGAGTCACTTTCTTCTTCAGGTCTTGTATTCTATTAATAATGTGGATATGTATCAGGAAATAATGACGAGACTACTACCCTATAATTATTAGTTCTTCATCAGTAGTACTAAATATGTGGTTCCAGTCCTCGTCGATATTGCGCTTTCTTTTACTCAAATTTTTATGCAGATTTAATTACTGCTATTTTTATTCATAAGAGTAATAACTGCTTGATTAAATACCATCTGCTTAAATGAAGTACGAAATTCTCTGAATTTTGTAAATTGTCAATAATAAAGTATTACGGTGGGGATTAAAATACAAAGAAATAGGAATTTATGTGAGAGAGTAATAACTGAATGATAAAATATCCATCTTTGAATAATACAAATACTACGTGTATTAGGTTACAATTTTACTTTTTGAATAATAAGAGCGAATTTGTTCTCAGTTCATTTTGGTTAAGAAGATTAAACTGAGAATAATACTGTTGAGGAGTACTACAAAAAACCATTACAACCAGATGCCTAAAGAAATTCCTTCCAAAAATGATAAAATCTCTAGGTAGTATGGAAAAAAACAGGAAAAGAATTAAATAAGGGGGATGGTAGGCAGAAATCAGAACTACAGTTTCACTGAAAATGGGAAGAGTTCTAGTATCTAATAACAAATAAAAGAATGTTTCACTATCAGAAGTGATTAGAGAAACACAAACAAAGACAGCGTATGTGGATAAAATAAGTAAAATAAACCTGAGCAAATTACAAAATTGTAACAGAATTTACACGGAAATTTGAAAATACATAAAAGGGACAGTTTATGTAACAGAATGAAGCAGGGTGCATACTTAAGTTCTCGTTATTTTACTTCGCTTTGAATTGTAAGGCACTAATTCAGGAGATTCGAACTGATTCAGTTTTCTCAGCTAATTTTATACTGGTGAACCACTATTAAGGTCGGTAACAAACCAGAGACAAACCCCTTTACTTCAGTTTACCCAAGAAGCACTGTTTGACATTAAGTAGTCTTCAGCAACTCACATCCATCAGTAATATACACAATCATGTAGTTTTTACAGCTTTCTGACCTGAGGTTAATAGTATCAAGTGGATGGATTACACTGAGATTTTATTATTTTAGGCTTTTTAGAAGCAGACTGTAGTGAAATTCCGTTTAGAGCTGTATAACTTTATGATCTAAATATTTCTTTCCAGGTTATTTAAGTAGTCAACTAAACTAATCGGATGTTGAGAACACTGCTTACTCAAAGAGCTTTTATTACAGTTAATAGAAATTGATAAGCTATTTGCTAAATTATGAAAAACACTAGTTTTCTATTGTCAAAATGCTTTAAAAATTAACTTCATCAGCCTCTGGTTAACATGTGGACATTATCTTTCTGACTATTGGAAATTATTTTTGTTAGTAGCTAAGTATAATGCTGAGAAAAGAAGTATAAATTAATACTTCACATATTATATTTTACGGAATGTTCATGAATTTGACACCTCTGTGTACCATAATGTCTTTACAATTCTCTCAAGTAAAAGAATCAGTTATACTTCAATTTGTTTGAATACAACAGCCCTAATATCATCGTTGAGTTATCTCGAATGTATTCAGGTGAAGATGTTATTAGTCTCTTGATAGCTCATAATAGGTCCCATAATTACGCAGTATGCCAATGAACAAACATTTCTGAGATTTCTTAGAAGTGTTTGAGAATGATGAGACCAACAGTATGAAATCAGCTGATAAAATTCGGAATACTTTATGAGAAAATGCTTGATCTTTGTGTCTACATTTTCACAACACTTTTCAGTAAAATCACACCAATTTTTAACACTACTCAAATTACCGCATAAATTATTCAACAGGAATATCTTTATTCATTAACATTTCCCATCAGGTATCCAAATTTTGATTTACACCTCTGTAGTATCAATTCACTGTCCTTTTGTTTATTGTGTTTGATTCTTCAATTTACAATGAGATTGACACTTAACTTTACCGGAACCGTACACAGGAAAATACTTTGCAGAAGTTCATACACGTACGGAGAAAATAAAATGCAGAAAAAGGGATTCCACACCCTGAAAGATGTGATAGACAGCTGAAAGCTTTTGTTGTCTTCTACGGTAGAGAAAGCCACCATAAACGAACATGCCATAATAAATAAGTAGTAATGAACGTTATTCAGGTAACTAACTATTCAGGTAACTATTCACTTGAGCACAAAGATATAACTTAATGCAAATGCTTCTTTAAACTCAGGTGAAATATGCATTTAAGATCAAATGTTTCCAGTTCATATTTCATAACTTATAAGGTTGAACTGTTTTGTAAATGCAATCATTAGTTGAATTGGCTGGCTGGTTTCAACATAGAACTTTGCACAGATGTGCAGCAGTTCAAGTCGCCACACTCCATGTAGCACACAAAGCAAGAGAATAAAGTAAAAAGAAATGTAAATCAGAGACAGCAAAAGAGATATGAGGCAAAAAGAGTAGTGATATCAAAGAAAAATATAGTTTCATTGGATATTATAAGCCACAAGGAGTGGATGCATCTGCGCCAGCCATTGGGAACGATTTTGAGCCATATTACCGATTGTCTCCAGCCACTGGTTTTTACCGTCCCAAAGGCCCCAACCAGGAAGTTTGGACCTTCCTACGTGGTTTGAACTAACTGCTGTGGATTTCATTGATTGATGAATTCATGTTTTGGTTTGACCATCACTGTCTCATTTCCAACCTGACCCTGTATCAGCTAACATTGCCCGTCGTGGAAGGCGATGGATGGCTAGGCATGCGTAACACATGTCCTAACCACCTCAGTCGATGTAGCTTCACAGCCTCGTCTACTGATTTCCCCTCCTTACCTAGCTCTCAACAGGTGCCTAACCTCAATATTGCTCACTCTATTATACCACTTCACACGGGATATAGAACTCAGGCACCTATGATTCGTAAACTTAACAGACAATGCTCGTGAAATCGATATTCTATAAGTATTGATGTATCAAATAAGAGTTAGTGAAAAATGCATATTTCAAAACCTCAAAGGTAATTAAAGGCTGCGATGTACTTCAGAGTAAAATAATTTATTATGAGAAGTGTACATAAACATGCAACTATTACTGGTAAAGAAAACTGTGTTTTATCGAATAAAAAACAAGGCAAATGATTATATTATAAATGAATACTTACTTTACAACTGGCTTTTCATCTGGATAGCTGCGCTGAAAACTGACTAGGTCTTTAATCAGTAAATTATATGAGCTGTAAAATACATACAAAAAGAAATAAATTCATTGTTATACGAAAACTAAAAAATTCGAGCTCATTTCACACAACTGAGATCATTTAGTCTTGAATAGTGTGCCCTCCTCTTCATGACCTTGTATAATAAGAATATAGGTACCAAAACTCATACATTGAAAATAATATTCCTGGCTCTAAGACCAAGCTTATTCAAAGGACTCTGTAGCCTAAAGATAGTCAAATCAAGTATAAGCGTCCAGTTAGCCAATCAAGATTAATAATTTAAAATTCAGCTCAACTTTTCCCACATTTCACTAAAGCACAGCCTACTGAGTTAACTAAGACTAAACATTTTGTTTCAGCAAGACAGAACAGTTAACTCATCGTATATTGTGTCTTTCCTCGTGGCATAGACATATATTAATGTTTTGTATCTTCAATTCACAAACTTTATTGCTTTTTCCCTTCCTCTACAGAGTCTGACGTCTGCTTATCTTATGAATCATCTCACCTGTTCACTTGTTATGCAACTCCTATATTTAATACTTTAATATTTGGGTCCGTTGTCTTTCAAAAATGTTAAAGAGTATTCATTCCAAATATCTGTATGCAAACAACACTAATTAACCCTCTTTAGGGTAAAATCAGTGTCACATTTATATCAACTAATATTTTTTTCAACGTTAGTTAGAGTCTGTAAATACTTTTTAGTCCTCTGATATGAAAATCATTTATGTTATGAGCAGTTAAAAAGTGTCACCTCAGTCAAACAATTTCATCATGTTCTTTTACTGAATTGTTGTTTCTCAGTAATTCAAAAATTATTATCAGCTTCAAGCATAAGTATGTTTCTGAAGCTTATAAATAACGTTCTTAAAATTCACTCAGTAGTATTCATTTATATGAAGCATTTATAGTAAGCATAGCATGTTTCTGTCATTGCATATACCGCCAAGTTATCCATACGAGAATTCCTATAGTAACTGCAGTCGTACTACTAGGTCAAGTAAAAAGACGTATGTTACTTAGTCTCTGTATTTGATAGTGTTCTGTGGCTAGTTTCCTCATCATATTCGCTCTGCTAACTGGTTTTATTATTCACCGGTGAGTTGCAATCACTTTGTTGTATTTAATGTTTTGTTTATTATTTTGCAACCTCTAGTTAAAGAGGCCAACTGATCTGTGAATTATATGTACTACTTTATATTAAGATGTTCTGCTTGTAGCGGTTACGAAGGAATAACCGTTGGACTCAAGTGAAGCTCCTCATTTTAAAACACACAGAAACCTAGAGTGACTAAAGGTCTTTGAAGTGATAAGAGAGATTCGTAGGTAGGAATTAGGCTGGAAAATGTTTGCCAGCTGTTCTTGCCGAACACTAAACAATTTCTGTCAGCAACAAATGGTTTCTATTATTTCAAAGCACGTTTAAGCGTGTCGCTACACAGGCAGAAAGCAGTGTTTAGACTTTCAAAATAACTGATGAACACTCTGAAGATCTACAGGCGTTCTTACCGTTCACTTTAATGACTTTCAGGATCCTCTACAAAAGTTGCTTAACAGTATAAATAAATAAATAAATAAAGCAATACTTATAAAATTGAAATGCTCAGAAATAACCATATTATTTGAAACAAGAAGGAAAACAACAATTTTCTTAAAAGCTTTTTTAAAGAACATAGGACTCTCGGTGACAACAATTAGCTAATTGCCATAGACAAAACTAGACATAAACATAGTTATTGTTGTTTCATATTTATACCGTACCCGACAACATTGATGACATCAAATAATTCGATGGAATATTAAATTTAGCAGTGAAATTTATTGACACATAATAGTTCAATTCTAGATGAAAGAAAAATCAAATGATGTTTTTTGACTTACTCTCTGTCCAACATCAAACAGTCTACTCCCCGTGGTGGCATTGCAATTATATTTGCTGTACGAACATCCTCACTTTAACAAGAGAAAATGACAAACGTAAATATTTCTTAAACAATTTGCCGAGGTTTAACTATTAATCATAATTCCCTCAGTTTTTTTCTACATGATTAAGGAAACTATAAAACAGCTTTAGGTTATATTTGAAATAAAATTTATTTATTTTCATTTGGTTTCCACACGTTTTGTAATACGTTTCGTGTGGGTTACTTAACTGATATACCATTTTAGAATACATAAAAACAAAATATAGCTGAAGGAACTTTCGGTCATGATCGCTGATATTATTTCCATTATTCCACAGTACTTCATAGAAGTTTATTAGTGGATAGCATTCAGTTCTCTTTGACTACACTGAAACACAATTCAAATTATAAGGAAGAATCCACTTGGAAGTATCCTTTGAAGCCGACAACGAAATTCCCCAGTTTTGAAAGTAGTATTATTGTTTAGTGTTCAGTGTATTAAGACTAAAAAGACACTTTATTTAAACAAGAGTAAATGGATGGCAGAGCGAATTGCTTAATTCTGCTGCTATGCCACTGTAAATATATATATATATATAAGCGACTGATAAAACGCAAGTAGCTTTCAGTTTCTATAGAAGACTGATTTTCATAGACCATGAAGTCATTTTAACTACAGACTCTTTCTTTACGATTTATACATTATCACATAAAAATGTGAGATGTGTGAAGAGCAGTTGTCCCTAAACTACCTCAACTATAGAACTTATGTAAAGAAGCAGTGGTTATCCATTTTGTCCCAGTCATAGAAAACCTAGATATTCAGAACCACTGACTCATGAGAAGTGGAGCCAGAAGCGACAACTCCTGTTGTGATCAAGGTGTCGCTTGTCTCCTTTGTTTTCTTAGCTGTTGATTCGGTCGTCAGAAAAAGGCTACCCAGTGGTCTTCAGTAGACTTCGGTTGCTGTTGTTTCTCCAGGAAATCAGCTTAAAATAGGAATTGTTGGTACTAGATGGTTGGAGGCAATCGGCAGGAAGCCTTGGACCTAGGTTTCCTGCTAGTTGGCACTCATCAGCAAGGCGAATCTGCAGCCTTGAAGGAACTGAAGACGACAAATCGCAATCAAGAAAGATTTGGGAATTCTATAAAATCTATTTAATTTGTGCAAGTCAAAATACAAACATATATCGTTTCAGTTCACTTAACAGAAAATTCAAGGTAAAATCTACTGATGGTGACTGTCTTACAGTATTTTCATAACTTTGGGAGACAGCATCTCAGTTATTTGTAGTATCTGGCATTAGCAAGTGTAAGCAAATAAAAAAATATTCTCCCGATCCGTGTTTTTCACCACTTTTGATAACTGTAGACACAAATAAATTCCAAATTTATTTGACAACTTGACTTTATTCACAGTGCGATTCATGATATTTAAGAGGCTAGTCATTGTATCTAAATTATTTACAGTTACATTTTTAAAACAACTACTCAGTGAAGTAATGTGATTCATTTAAATAAATTATTGCTTCAGTTTGTCAAACTGCTGAGGGAAAAATGTATAACGCTTTGTACATTTATTACGTAAATTTTCTGTGATAAGGAATTCTGAAATAAAATCAAACAGAAAAAACTGTTGAATTGCCAAGGCATCAACTTAGTCGTTTTATGATTAACTGAACAATACAACTTGAATCTCATAGAAAGGAAGAATTGAAAAATCAATACAACTATATACTTTTTGACTCACTCGGTTAGGGCTTTCTCTCCAAACCAATCCCCACGTGTCATATACCGAATAAATTGTTCACCGCGTTCATTCCCTCGGTTTTTTGTTACTTTCACCTAAAGCATAAAGATTGTTTATCTTCTCCATATAAATGATACAAAAACTACTGTCGACAACAAACATTATTCACTAAATTTATTTGTAAAAATAATTCTAACTATATCAATTTTTAGAAATGTAGTTGTCTTCCACCATATTGTGTGTTTATGTGTTACTGGGTCTTTGCATTTTTTCAATAATTTATTAATTCCCATTGTATCATTGAGAACACAATATTCAGCGAAGACACTCTTTTCAACGAATTTATTATCAAGCTGTACAATCGTATATATATGGTTTTTCTATACAAATTATATCCGGTGAGGGAATTAGGTCAAAGCTATGAATACATGAAATAATAATAGTATGAAATGCAATCAAAATATTTGTGATTATAATCATAGTTTAATGTCAAGTGGCAAAATAATTAATGTCGTATATAGAATAATACATAAAGTGTATAGAATTTTGGAAAGGGATACATAATTATAAGATTAGTAGACGAATATAAAGTGTTACATAACAAGGTGTGAAATTTGATAAGATAGAATTCAATATTTTAAAAATATAAATATGTAAAAATATCAACTACTCTAAAGATAAACTATCGCATTTGACCACTTCCATGTGTATCTACCAATTCACCTGCTCTTGCGGAGCGAGGTTTTATCTAAAAGAGTTCAAGAACACTATCCCGCCTGGCTACGGAAAGGTAACAACGGAGCAATAAGGAGCGCTATTATTGAGCATATACTCAACACTGGTCATTCGATTTGCAAGGAGAAGTCGTTCAAAGTCATCTATAAAGTCAAAAGAAGCCTTCCAAAATCGACAAGCTTCCGTATACTTTGTATTGCCGAAGCCTTAGCGATCTGGGTAGAAAAGCCTGATTTATGCACACAGAAGGAACTTCTCCACCCCCTCCTACTACCGTGGGTTTAATTTCAAGTTTATCTGTCATCAACATTTTGTTATCAAATTTTTTTGCAATTTTCGTATAATAATTTTTAGTAACTAACCCATTCAATCTTTTCACCTATTATCTAGTTTACTTTCATAACTGTCTCCATACTCCTTCGGTAACATCTAATCTTTCTAAACATGTCTCTATTAGGTAACCCTACTCACATCTTACCGATCTTCACCCCACTTAGTTACAACTTTGATTATTAATCACACATTTTAATTTCTTTATTATTTTGATGATGTAATCAACAACCCACACTAACTGTTATTTTGATTTTGACAAACCTAATGTACACACACACACAAAATTAATTGTATATATTTGCGACTGTACAGCTAAGTGAATGAATTCGCCGAAAAGAGACTCTTCGCTGAACTAATTTGTTCTTATTTCAATGTCTTAATGGGTATTTTTCGCGAATTAAAAATATAAAAATCAATAATTTTGGGTTTAAAATGTCAAGTGGGTCAAGTGAATAAGATTCAGAGTGAGAATAGTGATAACAATAATGATAATAATAATAATCATAGTAATAAGGGAAAAGTACATAGAATAACTAAATAAACAAAATAAAATAAATGAATGTCTATCCCTATACGGCCAAAGCAGAAGTAGGGATTGTACACAAAGTTCTGGCTGGCTTGAAGTCATGAATTGCCAGAGCCTCAGATGTCTCTAGAAGTGTGTAACGAAGAAAACGCGGGAAGTTAGCATGGATTATATATATGATCTTAAAATCATGGTCAGGGTTGACAGAGTGACAGAAGTCTATCAGGTGTTCCAAAATAGAGCTTCGCACACACTTCCTTTCTCCCTTGTAAAACCATGCTGGAATATGTTCTCGTATCCGTGTGGAAAGCGTCCTCTGACTACGGCCAATTTACCTTGCTCCACAAGAGCAGGTGAACTGATAGATACACATGGAGGCGGCCAGATGGGGGAGCTTATATTTTACAGAGGTAGAGAACAACTTGCGGCTAGTGAACGTCATATGTAATTTTGCTGCAAAGAACGTATTACTGACTGATTTAGGGAGACGATTTTTGAGCATATCTGAGGCTTGATCACCTCTGAATTCCAAATTCATGAATAAGGTTTTCTTTGGAACTGTGTCGGTGACCATTTTAGACTGCTTTTCTTTCATGTTGCTGTCAACAAATCGGTTAGGGTAACCGTTTTCTGCGAGGGTGGCTTTTAAGAAGTCAAGTTCTGAGTCAACAGAATTAGAACTACAAATTTTCCTTATCCTAGAGCAGAGCAAATGAATTAAGTTTCTTTTCCTGGAAATAGGCACCCAACTGTAAAAACTCGTTAGTTGTCCGTTCCAAGTACGTTTCCGGTGGATAGATCTTTTGAGAGATCCGTCATTACGTCTGCTAAGGCACACATCAAGGAAGGGAATACTTAGTTCGGACTCCTTTTCTACGGTGAATTGTAAAGAAGGACGGCAGTTGTTGAAAGCAAATAAGACATCATCAAGAATTACATTTCTATCGCAGATAACGAAAGTGTCCTCTACGTATCTTTTATAAATGTCGAAATGACCGATGGTTTGACTAAGTTGAGAATTTTCAAGCTTTTCCATAAAGCAATCAGCCAACAAGGGACCCAGTGGTGATCCCATGGCAATGCCATCTCTCTGTCAAAAGATCTCATTATTGAAGGTGAACTGAGCATTCAACGTGCATCCCAATAAAAGCTCTTTGAGGCAGATAGTCGGCAGTCCTATTTCTAAACTATATGTATTTTATATATTTTAATGTGTATTTTTTATATTTTTATATTTTTAAAATATTGAATTCTATCTTATCAAATTTCACACCTTGTTATGTAACACTTTATATTCGTCTACTAATCTTATAATTATGTATCCCTTTCCAAAATTCTATACACTTTATGTATTATTCTATATACGACATTAATTATTTTGCCACTTGACATTAAACTATGATTATAATCACAAATATTTTGATTGCATTTCATACTATTATTATTTCATGTATTCATACCTTTGACCTAATTCCCTCACCGGATATAATTTGTATAGAAAAACCATATATATACGATTGTACAGCTTGATAATAAATTCGTTGAAAAGAGTGTCTTCGCTGAATATTGTGTTCTTTATGTGTTACAACATGCTTCGCCATTGCCGAGTTTTTCAAGTTCATCATCTACTTGATGTCAGTCCTTCTGATGCCAATCTATTCAAATGACCTGTATAGTTGAACTCGCAGTCATGCAATCACGTAGTGTGATTGTGAGCAACGAATTGTACTCGAAACGCCATAACCAAACGATACTGTACCTCTGTGTTTTTATCAAACAATGTTATTGCATGATAAAATCACACTCTACAGTTGTGTCCAAAGTCTATTTTCATATAGGTGGTTTCCATAAAAGACAATTAAATACATTATTCGTATACTTCAAGATGGATGGAGAAAAAAGAGACACATACAAACTGAAACCATGTTAGCTAGTCAATATAACTCAAACAGATAGGTGTACAATGCAAAGAAAGAGTTGTTTTGGAATTAATTATTTTTAAGGATAGACAATCAACCTCCAGAATTGTGAGATTAATTGGGAGGTGTCTGTTGAAACTGTCATAATGTTTTCTGTCACTTTATTTACCACCATAGATGTCTATTACATAACTCATCTAGCGAATATTGTGAAACACAACCACAAGTTATTTTTTGTTTCCTTAGTCATCACTATAGAAGCATATAGGGATTAGCACAAGTTACAATTCATGAACTACTGGATGGCATCCCAGGAGCGAAACTGAAGACGGGTTGACCTCTTAACATGAAGGTCCCGCGTTCGGTACCCCATGAAGTCACAAGTGCACGTTGCTGAAGAGTCCCAAGGCAATACGAAAAGTTGTCTAGTACTTCCTGGTTATCAGTGGTTTTTGAAATGATGTAAGTTAGCAATCTAATTTGAAATCATTCCGATATCTACAAATCAATACTTTAAAACTGATTAGACTAGAAGATACCCCCGTGCCTTAGAATGATAATGCGACTTTCTGTTGTTTAAGTGAACATAGCCTTAAAACGGTAATCAGCTATTTGTTCACTGTTGATTCTGTCAGGAATTAGAGAAGTAAATCAGTTACGTGTAACTCTATGCAATAAACACAAAAAATGTGTTTCAACATTATTGGATGATCATATATTGCTTCAGTGAAGCTCTGGAAGTAATAGTCTATTCACTGTGAATAATTACCAAAAAGGATAAATTTCTGTGCGTAAAGATATATTTGTAATTGACCACATAAGAAGGTTGTTGTGAATTCAGTAAACAGTTTGTATCAATCAAATAATATCTATGTATATGGATCATACGCAAATAGAAATGTGGTTTCTGTTTCAGTGCAAACATGCATTCAGTAATGTACTTAATATATAGCCTAAATATCTTTTCTTATTTGTACTTATATTACAGTAATGTCAATTCTGAGTAAACACTGCACACTTGTGTCTCAGCTCACCATCTCTAAAGGTATACTTAGTCTAACCGTTGGAAAATTCATTAAAAACTCCCAAATAACGAAATTATTTCAATGAACCAGATATCTTCCACTGGTCACCATGAGAATTTTTTCCTTAAATGAATAAATTTAACTGAATTGACGTGAATACTACACTTCTGAAGTTCATATGTAATATGACTACATTTTACTTACTTTCCCATCGGTTATTATGAAGAAAGTGTTCCCACGCTCGCCTTCTCTAATAACATATTCATCCGGTTCATAATGTTCTGCCCCAAGTACAACAGCAACTTTTCCAAGAACCTCCAAATTTAAATCCTTAAATGTTGGAACACTAAAAATACAGTAATAAAAGAGTAAATTTTAAGAAGTCATTTTTCGACAACTTTTAGCTTTCGAGTAAAATGATGTAAAATAAATGAAAGGTCACTTAGTGGATTGCTAAAACAGGTTTATCTACCATCAACTCGATATCTGCATGTTGCATGTTTGGAGCTAACGTAGAGATGCACTTGAAAAATTATTCATTGGAAAATGTAATTTTCGACGTTTTTAAAGCCAGAATTACTGGAGACGACACTTTCATTTATACGGGAAGCTCTTCTTAAAGGAATGTTAGTGAACCTGGTGAAATTTATCATTTGTCCAAGAAATAAATCCTACATGGATTCTAACTCATATAATTCGTTCGAAGAAAAGACAAGATAAGTAATCTAAATCTAAATTGTATCTTCTGCATGATAGGAAATTACACAAACATTTGGTTCCAGAGTATTATGTTTGTTAATGATAATTGAATGATACTCAGTTTTCTAACGAAGCTTTGAAAATGCGTCATTTCATACAAGCTTCATATTTTTACTGATACTCGGAAAACAAAATCTCATCAGCACCAGTTCCTTCAACTAAATTCGATGTATTATTGATATAAGTATAAAACTTGGGCACTGTGGTAGAGTATAACTCCATTATGGATAAGATTTTATTTTGATAAATCACACAATGTTATACAGTAATATTAACCGATGATCACGTTTCGAGCACAAATTATTGCCACTCATAATCATATCAAGTTACTCACACAACTTGTTTCTTCATTTATATGCATGTGGAGAATTGACTAGATATTTAAATTTAAAATTCGATGTAGAGTGAAAACGTTGATATCTTGTTCCATGAGTGAAAATTAATTCAAATTATTAGTTCTTTACTAGTCTCTTGAAATCCCTCGTTTTGTTCTATAACATCTTCTGATGCTTTCATGTGACCCGTAGGAAGCCTTGAAATAATGTTTTGTCCTCACTGATACTCGTCAGCAAGGCAAATATGAACTTATATCCCTTCGAAGATCTGAACCATCATCACCCAGTTTTGCAATCAGAAGCCTTATCCCTGAGCTATTGGTGCCAGTGGTCGACCTCCTATAGGATTATGTACCCACCACCTCCCTCGAGTTTGTGAATATGCCTTACTATTGAGCGCCAACAAGTACATGGTCTAGGTTCAGTGTTTCCTACCAACTGATTCTAATCATCTGATGTTAGTTTGAAGTGCACGAGTAACCCAGCTTGGTGATCACGCTGCAAACGTGACTGATACATTTTAGTTACCAAGGAACTCCAAAAACTAAAAATACGACTAATCAATTTATGAAATCTTCCACTGAATAAACGCATCAGTCAATGGAGGGAACATATGCTTTCTTGTACTATGATACTATAAACATATTTCAAAAAATACCCTTGGTATTCTAGCTCTTCAAGGATAATAATTTACATGACAAAATAATCCTCAAATGTTATCATCTCAGCAACTCTTAAATTCTACTTCTGTTTGGCAGCAGCTCAGAATAATATAATCTCAGCAAAAACAACGTGTGAATTTCCTTTTTAATGAATGAAATTTAAAAGAGAAGTTGAGTAGAGATGTTCATTCCTAAAATCCAAAGTATGATCACATCATGGATAGAAATGTTTTTCCTTGATAAATCTACCCTATGTTTCAGAAATAAGGCTTTTTTTAATAATGCTTTCGAACGTACGTTGGTGATTCAGCTGTAGAAAACTCTCCAATCACCCACACGATCATGGGGCTGACTCCCAACAGACGGACTTCTACATCTTGCTTAGACAGTAGTAGGCCTGGTGAAGGCGAAGGTTAGGCGTGAGGCCAGCAACTCCACCTCGTAAGGAAAAGAAAAAATGCAACACCGCTAAGGAAGCTTCACAGCTCAAGCTTGAAGCTCTATGTTCCGCTAGGAATGCAAAGAATAAAATGAATAATACTAATAACACTGCTGAATAAGGTGACTGCTAAATAATGAACCCAACTGCAAATGAAAAAGATTTTGCAAAAGAGTTAAAGCACACTAGGCTTGAATTCAATTCTGATTGCACAATAACAAAAAAGCGCCTTCCATTTTTATTCCTGGACAAATATTCATATGAATTCGTAAATTTACTAAAGTGTAATCATCATAAAAATGAACATTTTATAGAGGTAATAATAACAACAATAATAGTAAAATTTATCATAAAATATTGAATAAAAGAACAAAAATATGGCTATTACAAACCATTTATCTATTACCTTTTCAGAAATTTTACATATTCAGTTTGTTTTTGTATACCTGTAAACATCATAATTGACTGAAAACATGGACGATCTATTGCCCACAATTTGCAGTCAGTAATGGCTATGAAAACAAAGAATGAATAGAAACCATTGACAATAATAAGAGATGAGAAAGAAACTCATTTATAATCATTCCACCTATTATACGTGTAGCAAAAAGAACATATTAATTGTTGGAGAAGAAGCGTCTAGTGAGCATTTGATTCTGTGTGAATTATTAAGTTTACAATGGTGAGGAAGCCGAGAGGGTATTCATCCCATAGCCAATAAACATACTTCATTTAATTCATGAATAATCCCTATCCAGTCATTAATCAAAACAAGAAACGCAGTTCAGCGAAGAGTTTCCTTTCGGCACATTCATTCACATAGCTGTACAATCGCAATTCATTCACCTTCTTTTCGCGAAATCAAGGCATCTAGAACCGATATGCAATTGCTAATTGCGCTACCATTGTGAATATATTGACACAAACTTTCAACGCATTGATCTAGCGCGTTTTGCTCTCTAAAAAATATTCAATACACTTTATTTAGAAGCAATACTTGAAGGCTTTCTGGGTGAAAAGCATTAGATTACAACAAAAACGACTTCGTTTATGCGTAGGATAAAGGAAGTATTGAAAACTATGTACCCCTAAATATACATTTCCCCTCTTCCTGGTTGTGCCGGCGTTATTTCATAGTGAGTCAACTGCAAATAATATACTTTTGAATTAATGCATTAAAGCGAAAACAATCAGACTTAACTGCTTAAATTTCTTCTAAATAATACGATACATTTTGATATATGTATATATAAAAGCATATATGCTAAATGAAGTGGAACATTCCACATATTTCGCTGAAATGGTAACTACACACTATTTTATTGAAGTAAACTGTGCTATACTTTCTAAATAGTAGCAAACGTTTCAATGCCGTATAGGTTTTCCTATTAACTAATCCTGAGTACACAAAATATTTGGTGGATACTCAAATCAAGATCTGACATATTCAATAATTTGGTAATTTTGTCGGGCAAATTTTTGTCCAGATATAGCATCATTAAAATATCTTCCTAGATAACAAGTCTTCCTTAACTGTGGAATATTATGAAGTTAGAAAATCACTTCCTTTTTGAATTAGTTGAGTTCTCTGAACTGGTTAGTTTAATTACGAAGCTTTCGTGGATCTTAGAGACAACATCTTCAGTCCAAGTTTTAGCATAAAATGAACTCACTTGAATTCTTCATGAATGAGTTCATTTTATGCTAAAACTTGGACTGAAGATGTTGTCTCTAAGATCCACGAAAGCTTCGTAATTAAACTAACCAGCTCAGAGAACTCAACTAATTCCAAGTCATCCACCTGAGCTACAAATCTTCTTTAATATCCCTTTCTTTTATTCACAATTTTGTCGTAGAATGAGGTCTTCTACTTTCACTTGTTATTGTTTCATAAACTGTCACTCTCACACTCTTTGAAAAAAAGGAAAAAGTAATGGAAATATCACTGTAAGTGATTTGAAAATGCGTTCATCTACATATGGTGTCAAATTACTTGAGAACTTGTTCATTTTCTTCTACACATTGAAGAGCCTTAAGTAAATTATAACCGCAAATATTTTCATTTACAGATAAATACAAGTTTATAAGCCCTTGCCACTTTCTTTATGTTGAAGAGGAGCAAAAATTTTATTCGTTTAATCCAGAAACTCAAAACCATATATTAAAAAATGTAGCCACTTCACATCCTTTGTTTAAAATTTCTTTAGTTTATAGGGGAAATGAAATAAATAAATACTGCAATAGAATTTCATACCTCTGACACTTGCTGTTCTTGTGCAGTTGTAAAGAATAGCTAATTCACCAAAAACAGTACCAGGTCCCATTTCACGCAAACGTTCACCAGCCTTTTGGACCTCAACATATCCATCTAATATATAGTAACAAAAATCAGATAAAACAGTGGTTTTTATGCGCTTTTCACATTTTTCAAGTTTAAGAAAAATCCACTAAAAAAGCCAGCAGGATATTACTTTACATTTAAACTGAAATTTCATCATGCAGTAGAACTTTTAAGTTAAGGGATGCTAATGATTATCAGCGATTCAAGGTGGACCCAGTGAATATCTTTCTCTAAAATTCTTTCCATGGTTCATAAACGATTCACAGGAACTTTTCACATGATGGATACTAATTGACTGTTTAAAGACGTTTTTATTCAAATAGGGTTGAATAAATGAGAAAAATGGAAGTGTGTACAGAAGGAGTGACACGTTAACTGCTGATTGTATCAGGTAGACGTGGAAGTTAATGGTTGAGTTGTAAAGTCTAATCAAAATTAGTTTCATAGATATTAAATACAGATCACGACATAGTACAAACGTTGGGAATGTAGTGCAGAAATGTCAAATACGGAAAGAATATTAACGAGAATTTCTTTGAACGTATTTTAGCGGTCGGTTCTTAAAAATAATGACCTCTTAAGCAATAAACTGCTTCAGTAATCTAGCGCACAACATATTTGTATATTTAGCTAATATTAGTTTTGTATACCATATTAAATAGACAAAATAATATGAAACTATGCTCTGCCACAATTCCTAGGTCTTACTTTTCAGTTCTACAGTGGTATTAACTTTAGAATGATGATCATTATTAGTGTAATTGGCAGGCATTCTTGTCTGCCAACAGATGAACAAATCCATATTTTTCACTAGTGCTCTATAACGGTTTCTTATGCTTAGTATTCTGAAAAATCACAGATTTCCAAGCTATTTTTCGTTTTATTAGCACTGACAACAAAACTAAAGTGTCTCTGCTTATTTAAATTTTCATATGAAATCACTTCACGTATGGCTTTTTTGAACATAAAAATGAGAATTCGCCCACTCACTTTGAAATGTGCATGATTGAAGATACCTAGGATAGTCGAAATGTGTAGAATCAAGGAATTAACAATTGGCACAAAACTTTTAGTTAAGACTACTTTTCCGCAATTGAACTTTGAAATTTTCAGGCCATATTGTGATAAAATGAAGAAAGAAAACTCATTTCAATGCACGTATATCAGCCAGCTGCGCAATCATACATATATGTATATATAGTCTTTTGGAAACAATATCATCTTAGGATACTTTAACAACAGGTAACAGTAATACTAATGCTAATTGCGATAAAAAATGTCTGTAATTATAAGCATAGTTAAACGCCAAACATTAGCAAATTTGTATAATATATGAGCACCTTCTTAGAATGTATATATCCTAAAAAGGGAAGTAAAACAAATGAGATTATCAAATAAATGTAAAATCGTGTAACCAGGTGTGACGAGTTGGGTGGAATGATGTTGTTTATAGCAAAACATTTATATTATTACAAAGGAGTAAGCGGAATAAGACCGGAAACTGATCAGACAAGAAATAACGATACTAACAGCAGTAATGACAATGTGAGGGTACAGAAATAATTCATATAACTCAGTTTGTTATCGTCTGATGCCTAGCTATGATCAAAATTACAAATATTTATTATCGCAGTTATTATTATTGTTGTTGTTGACTACTTAAGTATCCTCAGAGAATATTACTTTTAGAAAGTCATAAATATATTATAAATGTACAGCTTGATAGTAAATTCGATGACAAGAGTTTCTTTGCGGAATACCGCCTTTTTAATGTTGTAATGAGAACTATTAAATCATATAAGTAACAATACAGGTTCCAGTAATCGGTTTGCTGCCCAAGACAGTGTTTTTAATATCATTTTCAAAGAACTTGAAACATTCTTTAATGTTTAGTCGTAGGAGTGTTTTTAATATCAGGGGTCAACTGACATAGTACAAATTCATCTTGTTCTGAATTCATTCACTCTTAAAAAATCAGTTTTATCGCAGTTTTCCATCTGTGAAAACCCCGTACCTATAAATGAATCAATCTAAAATTAGTACATAAAAGCAGTTCTTCACAAATAAATAATTTATGTTTAGCATAATTCTAAAGCTTGGTTGGGCAATTCAAAGACCATTTTACGAAGAATGTTAGAAAAAACATATCAGTAAGCCGATCGAGGTATGATTAAGATAAACAAATACAATTAGTGGCATTTTCAGGAAGAAATGGAGGTGGACTGACCATACTCTGAGGAAACCATCAAGTGACATCACTAGACAAGCCCTAGAGTGGAACCCAAAAGGGAAGCGGCGAGTTGGTCATCCAAGGGTGACTTGGAAGAGGTCATATGAGGAGGAGATGAAAGCATGTGGGCAGACCCGGAGCCAGGTGGAAACTTTAGCAGAGAACTGAACGCAATGGAGACGTGCAGCTGAAGCCCTATGTTCCTTTAGGAATTAAAGGAAATTATAATAATAATAATCCTGTGTCTCATTGTACCTTTTAGTAAATGAATTTAAAAATATGAAAATCTAGCCAGAAATTTAAATGAATATGTACATTATGTCCAGTAACATCGAGAAGTCATTGTATACTTCAATCTCAGTCTTAGTATAGTCTTTTGAATTGTTTCATTCCATTAAACATACTTCTAGTTTTTCGTTCTCTTTGCAAAATGAGTGGTTAACAATGCTGTAGGCTAAAAGTTTGTGTGAAAGCTTGCACTTCAAGTGGAGTAGCAAACAGGTTTTAAGAATTAAATCTCACTAGATGAACAAAAGTATATGCAGAAGTAATGAAAATTACTCATCAAAATTATATTATTTGGCAAGATTTTGTTTAAGGCATTTGAATGAAAGACTGTGTTGTGTATCGTTACGTTTATTACTCCATCTATAAAAGAAGGGAAGCTAAGCGAAAAGAATTAAACTGTTGCAATAAAATACGACCAACCCACAGGTAACACACAAACACTTATCAGAATGTCTTTGTGAGGAAATCCAAAATAATTAACCACACTTAAAGACCACCTAATAAAATGACCATGAATAAGAATAAAACTGAAGGGGGGATAAAAAACAAAAAAGAATAAAACGGTATTTTTAAATGTAATCACAAATGAAAAAATATACATAGTTCTAGTGACTTTTCCGACTTATAATGCCCAATATTTTTACTAACCGAAGTTTTATACACCCAACGTGTTGATGAATCACTTAACAAAGAAGCCGATTTTTGTACAAAGCCTTTGTATGATATCAATTCATCATAAAAGGTTCCCTACTAATCCTAAAGTTTTCATGTTGCATTCTTTACATTTTTATTCCATTTTCGCTCATTGTTTAATGATGACGCCATCAAGATAAAAATCAAAAATCCATATTCTTTTGCTTAGCAGTGTACTATAATACAACAGTGTATTAAAATGGGGTTTTTATCTGATGGCTAGAAAGATTAAATGTTTATTGTAAATGATTTCCAGCTGTTAATTCTATCCGTTGTGTACGTCATATGGGGATCATGTTAGTCGAACTGATAATAATTGGTGCAAAATTATCCTAGCCTAAAGAATTAAGGTTAAATTAACAGAAAAATCATAGAGTGTGGCAAAAGTACAGCGAATGATTGCATTGTGTTGTCTTAGTAGTATACTGACTCAGCTACCGAGCCGATATTTCAGAAATTTAGACATTAAAAAAGCACTGAGTATTAAATAGTATGCTTCAACATCGAAACGTCTGCTCATTACTATGTTATAAATAAATTTTAAAGACACTATTTTTGACTAACAGATAGCTCTAATAAGTGATTATTCGATGCAAACTTAATGTCGTAACAAAATGGTATCAACTGTAATAATAATCACAAAACACGAAGCACGTTCTGATTAATGAAAAAGTAATAGAAAATTGGCCTGACGGGCACACCACAAACCAGATTGACTTCATCTCAATATTGCTCAACGAAGATGAGACACAGTCTGCTGGATACAAAGTCAGAAGGGGAGCAGATGTGGGCTCAGGCCATCATCTACTTCAAGGAACCTTCAAGGTGAAGCTGAAATCCCTCAAAACAAGTGGAGATAGGCCACTGCAATTCGGGTTCAACATTCACAAACTGAAAGACAAAACTACAAGAGATACCTTCACTACAAATCAGATCAGAGCAAAGTCGCAGACACTATGTGACATCACTGAGGAAACCTGCAGTGAGCTACCTCTCTGAAGGTGATGTTCAAGAAAACGTGTACAACCGTTCTAGGAAGACAGAAGAGACAAGAAAAGGAATGACTTTCAACGGACACCTACTTGGAAGCTAATAGCAGAGAGGAGAGGAGGATGGTGAAAGGGAAGATGACTCAATGCAAAGACGGACAACAGGAGAAGGAGAAGCTGAGTTCAATGTACACTGTAATGAGTCAAGAAAGACGTGAAGAAGAGTGGTAGGAAAGACAAAAGACGACTCTACAGCAAACTGGCCGGCAACTGAAGCAGAACAGGCAAACAGGCCGCAGGTAAAAGGGACCTCAGAACATTATATCAGATAACCAGGTCTCTATCCGAGAAGAGATCAACCCAGATGATGCAACCAAACAAAGGTCCCCAAGAGGACTTGATAATCAGGGAGGTTAAACAAATTAAACAGTGGGCTGATCACTTCAAAGGACTATTGAATCGACCATCACCTACAACTCACCCACAAATACACCATCATCAACAGCACTAACAGAACTGCCTGCCAGTGGACACCAGTTCACGAATGAAATCCAGATTCTGAGGTTCGCGAAGACAGATTGGTCGGACGCAATCACTCTGGAAGTACTGAAAACTGATCCACAGACTGAAGTGTATATGCTCACGCCATTATTGTAAGCGGTTCGGGAGGAAGGGAAGGTGCCTAGGGATTGGAGGAAAGGCTACCTCATCAACCTGCAAAGAAGGGAGACTTAGGCCTCTCCAACAACTGGCGTGGAATAATCCTCTCATCAACACCAGGTAAAATACTAAGTCGCGTCATCCTGGAGAGAGATAATGAAAGATGCACTGGATAGAGAACTCCGCCAGCCCCATTGACCAGAACAAACTGCATTCAGGAAAGGCAAATCATCATGTGCTGATGAAATTGCAACTCTACTCATCATCATTGAACAGAGTCTAGAATATCAGTCAAATATCCACCTTAACTTGATCAAAATTGATAAAGACTTCAATAGCGGTGACCGAGAAGTAATTTGGAAACTACATGAACACAACTGCGTGTAGTATCCGAAGTCTTTATCAACCTCATTCAACAACTGGCTATACGACAATGACACGTGTCAGGTGATCCATAAAGGAAAACTCAGCGAGGAGTTCTAATTGAAGACAGGAGTAAGACAAAGCTGCCTATTACCACCATTGACATACCGAATTGTGGTGGACTTGGTCATGTGCTAGACTGTGATTTGGGAGTGAGAAGATAGGAATACTCTGGAAGATGTGGATTTCGTGGATGATTTATGTTTAATGTCACACAAACTCGAAAACTTCCAGGCGAAAACCAACAAACTGGCTATAGTGAATGGCAACGAATTCAGGTCTGCAGGTGAACATAGAGAAGACTGTGATGAAGAAAGAATCTGTTCATTCATTAAATCTACAATGGACGTAATCTTTCTTAATTTCAGTCTTACTAATTGTATTATTTTGTCTTTTTTTTGCATTTTATTATTTCACATCTTCATTTGTATTATTCTCTACCCCACCCTTTTGTAATCTCTACCCTCATTAACAATGTTGCTAACTCGACCCACCTCCAATTTCTAGTTAAATATATTGCGTCATCCGATTAACTTACTTAAAAATAATAATATCCTATTGATGCAAGGAAGTAAAGTTAATCCATCCACCTGCGTACTTCATCATTTCTGTGGTATTCTTTCAAAACATCTTAAACTAATATTACTTTTTGAAAAACTAAACAGAAATTTAATTTTTGGTTAGAAAAATTATTCGTATTAAAAACTTTCAACTTAACCACTTGTCTTACGCTAATATTTGGCATAAGCTACCACAAACTCACAAGTATTATTGCAGTACTGGAAACAAGGGGTTAGTGGGCAGTTGTTTAAGGACTCTTCAGCAGTGCACACATTTGAGTCAACTGGAAATCGAACTCAGGACTTTCAGGTCCCGTGAAGATCTCAATGAACATTCAGCTAGTGGGAGTGGAGACCAATGGTTCAGATCTATTTGATTTTCTTAAAAATTACTTGAAGTTGATGAGTTAAGTCTTGAATTCTAAGATCTATCTATTAAATCTAAAACCTGATCACTATGCAGCTAAGCGACGTAACCTCCATATAGCGCTTCTTCAAACAAAATATGCAACAATTTAGTGGATCGGGCAAACATTACTGACATTCACTTATATGTTTTACTGTCCCACTTTGTCGTAGAGGAATTATTACGTGTCTATTTTGGCATGAATGTTTTAATACATCACCTCTCTGTCACAACACAGATGTGAAACATGAAGAGATCACATCATAAACAATCATTTTAAGAAGAAAAATTTGAATTCTTTCGATATTCTGCTTTGTTCGGAGTGGAAAATAATCCAAAGATTGTTGTGGAGGTTTATGTGCCTAACTTAAATAAAGACAAACAGTCACTTACATACTTTGAACTCGAATCTTACATCAATTGCTTTCAGTTATATTTCTGTACTTTATGTGTCGGTTGCCTGGCAAATCCAACTTTTAAATTTGCTGCATCACTCCAAATATACTAGCTGTGAAGATCACCTGTTTCAACGATGCTTTCAGCCAGACACTGAATAGGTTAACACTATGAATATAAACTGAATTTTTCAGCAAATCTGTTAAATTATGTTTCAGGCATCAAATCAACCCTTGGTAAGGAAAATACCCGGCAAAATCTAAATGCCCACTAGCATGTTCTCGGATGTTACTTGAATAATTAATGTTTTCTAGCAGAATATATTTAAAGTTTTCGCAGAAAAATGCGCATAAAACATGATTTTTTATTATGGCCCCAGGGAAACTTATCCCGCATGACTGAACGTCGAATAATAATGATGAACAAAAATCGAAAAATTACTGGAAAAAATGTAAGAAGTAAAGTAATGACTCTAGAATGCCGTTCGTAAGCACCCTATTGTTAATTTGATCCATTAGTCAACCTAACTATCCCTTTAATACACTGTGATAAATTTCTTATCGAATAAATAAGATTAGTGAAGGGAGACCTGACCGACAAACAACAAATCAGGATTCTGTCGAATATAAATACGACTCAGCGACTGAATCTGCCCTACAGCCTGTCACTAAGATATCTTCGTATCCACTGATGTGCTAAACTGAATTTCTACATAAATTAGTAAGAAAGATCGTAATGTTTTCCTGTTTCCCTCCTGAGATCAATTGACAGAAATTATTTCTGACTTTCTAATGGATTTCATTGTTATTCATGTAATGTTTTTCTTTTATGATTACAAGTTTTGTAAGTGAATTACTTCCAGCTTACCAAATATTTTACCTGTTATTACTAGTTTCAAAATAATGTACCACTTTCATTTACAGAACTGAAATTGCTCTCAGCAGTGCATTAATCAATAATCTGGCAAATTGTATACACTATAGCCTCAAACTGTGTGCAAAGACCACAACTATGAGCTTTTACGGACACAGTTTACACGTATGTAAAACACTTCGGTTCAATGGAAAATGTCAAAATCCGAACAGGAAAACAGGAGACAGCTGTAAAAAACGACTTAATGAAAATCTTGTAAATCTATGAATAAAACAATGGAAACATCAAAATTTACTGAAGAAAGAATCCTTACAATATTTCAGGTTCCTGTGGATTTAGAATACAGGTATATGCATATATGTACACGTAAATGAAAAATAGTCTATATTTTGCCTAAAAAGATAGGAAATAGTTGTCTAAATTTATCTAGTAAGAGAAATGTCTAAAATAATTCTGTTCTTTTCCGAAAAACAAGACAAGAATAAAAACTGAATATATATTTATTTTGCCTACAATTTGAGTTCATGGACTGCATGTACGTACATGATACTTGTATATGAAAATCAAACTCTGAAGTTCTTAATCATTAGGTAAAAGGAATTTGCTATCCGAAGTAGTAAAAACGTATTAGTTACAGGATTTCATCATGAGCTGACATTAGTTAGAGAACCATTGGAAAATCTGGGAGTAATGGACAGCTGTTTCATCCTAATTTGGGACTCTTCAGCAGTACGCACCCACCGGGATTCGAACCCAGGACCTTCTGGTTACAAGGCGAGCTCATATACCATTAAGCCACTGGGACCCGATCCAATGGCCCATGAATTCTAACCTCTGCCAATTCCAATGTTTCCTTAACCAATTCCAGCTCATGATGAAATCCTGTAACCAATCAACCAAATCCCTACAAACCAATACGTGAATAAGGACGTATTAGTTTGCTAATATTTACATATTGAAGTGGATCAGTAGCTCAATAAAAGCCTAATGATAAGTATAGTAATTGGGAGAGAACTTTCAGCTATATGAATCAAATCACCATGTAATGCAAGATCAAGAATAACTAAAGAAGAGATGTAGCGTCGTTGGCTCAGTGGTAGAATGCTAAGCATTCACACACGTGGCCCGGGGTTCGATCCCCGATCGATGCTAAGCCAGTAATAAGACTGGTAAAAGGGGAAGGTTAACCATGCGGCTAGCAGCCCCATCCCGTAAAAGTAAACACCACTGCTGCCGAAACTTCAAGCCTCTGGCTTGAAGTCTTATGTTCCACTGGGAAGGTAAAGGAATTAAAAGAGAAGAGATATTAGGCAACTTGAATCGAGAAGATGGGATGTTATCGTTCGTCACAATTACGTCAGGAAAGCATTGGGATATTTGCTGCCATCATTTTGTGAACACACAACTTCCGCTTCAACTTCTGAAAATTTGAGATATCTTTACTGTTTCTAATTATTTAATGCATACGTTTTACTGAGTGAATATTATGCTATGCAAACTGAAATATTAATGTATGGCTAAACTTTATCCTTCGGTCCTCCAAATTTTACATCTCGAGAACTTATGCTAAATTATGTTGGATACAGTTAAGTCTGGCATGATAGCTCTTAAGCTTCAATCGCATAACTCAATAATAAATTCATTTTAATAGTTGTATTAAAAATTATTTTTCTCACATCATCGACAAGATAATTAATCATATGCAGTAAAAATACATCCACAGCCTGAGGAACATGAATGATGTATGAAAATTGTATTGAAAGCAATGGTACCTTTAGTAACCCTTTTTTATTTGGACAGGTCTACAATTCTTTAAATTTTGTTCAGTTTTTCAGAATTTCATGTCTATTATACACCTTGGTGGTAGGTATTCGGTAATAACAAATAGAAACTATGGCAAAATAATATATGTCTTACCCTCTAGAACGTAGACAACCGAACCAACTTCACCTTCTTGTATTATCCATGATAGTCTACTGCAGCGCAGCGGGCACATAGAATCAACAATTTTGGAGATTTGTCTTTTATCCAAATGTTTCATGAAATCATTGTCCAAAATTGCCTGAGTAATAAGTGCCTTTGTGCTAGTAAGTAAATAAACGAAGAAATTTGAAGAAAAAAATTAAATTCCGTGTAAAATAAACTTAATGTGGACATAATTATTGAGTGGACTGCTCATAAAATAACACTGAATAGCCACTTATTTACTCACTCTCTGTGTGTTATTTCAAATACTGAGAAATGTTTTTTGAAGAAAAACATTATTCGTTTGAATGAAAATCAGCTGAACATCACATATAAGAAGTGAATTTGATTTTCTACAAAATCATACCTATTATAATAGGAAAAGATTTAAATAATGTGTGAAAGACAGAGAACTAGTCAGCCTAAAAGTATTCCGATACAGATCTATTCTGAATTTATAAAAATGTTCAGAAAAGAACGTAAAACTTTGAAAAAAATCTGATTTGCTGAATAATATTAAAACAGCATCGTCTTCACATTACTTGTAAATACTTTTGAGTTCATAAAAAACTTAGAAAGGGAAAACACTTCACGACATAAAGTTGAGAAGAGTATTTTATACGTTATTAACTACCAACAGAATCTGCTTAAAGCTGTTGGATTAAAATTTCTACTTTATAAAGATATTTCTTCAGTGTTTCAAAACTTATGGTCATATCAAATATGCTCATCTATATCCTTTTACAAATAGAATATTCTGAAGTCCTCATATGTGTTTGGTCAGTCATCATATATTCTCTTGCATTAAACAAAAGATCCTGCATAAGGGGAGTTTAGGTTAGTAGTTCATGCCCACCACAACAGGCACGAAGCTGTTTCTTTACTGGACATATTTGCAGATGCTCCGCTGAACTTCAGGGGTTCAGTTATCTTGAAAATAATCCAAACATGGGTAGTGGTAAGAGTCAGACGATTGACAGACGCAAGAGGATAACAAGAAAATTTTACACACCTTGAGTCGGTGGTTAAGCGGTAGAATGTTCGCGAACCATGCACGTGGTCTGGGTTTCGATTCCCTGCTGACACCCATCTTTACCTCCCGTAGGCAGTTGTAAGCCATACAAAGATGGAAGTTCGAGCGTGAGGCTGGTAACCCCACCCCGTAAAAGCAGTATTGCTACTGGAACTGCAAAGCTCAATCTTGAAGACCTACGATCCACTTGAAACGCAACACACACAAACAGAGTCAAAATTGCTAGGTGTACAGAATATATATATATATGATTCTTGTCTATGCTCATTTGTATTCCTCACCAAGTAAACGTCTTAAAACATGACAACCACTTTTGGCTTTTCGTCAACGTTTAAAAAATTCTGTGCTTTTATGCACATTTTAGTTTTATTAAATCTGGATGACATTAATTTCCTCATATGCTACGTAGTTTGTTATTCCATCTCTTAAAATATAACCTGATTTAATGTTTGGCTCATCTGACACAGCAGATAACCAGAGTGCTCAGTCACTTCAATACTGCACAAGTCTAAATCATTTAGTTTGCGGAAAAATAACTTTTTGATCTTCTTGTCAACCTGAACGATATACGGCTGCTGGCATTATTTGCATTTTACTCTGAATAACATATTTTTACTGAAATTCCAAACTTGCTCAGAGATGAAATTAACTTCAATTATATTTTGATCTAGAAAATAAAATTACCTGTTCTGCGTGAAATTATGTGGTAAGATAATTCCATTGTTCGGTATGCCTATTTTGAAGTGCTTCAACTGATATTTACCAGAATGCATACGAAACATCCGGTCAGAATAATTTCTTCTAAAATCTACGTTTGACATGAAAAATTAGCTGGTATTTAAGAAACCCAGGAAGTTAACAGCACACAACAAGTGTTTTGTGAGACATAAACATTTTTAAGAACACGTCACGCTTCGATCGACTGATTACTACACATGCATTTCCTCCTCTAACTTAACACTCAATGACAAAATAAAAAATAAATAATGTATAAAACTGACAAAAGACATCTGTTTATAAATCTTACAGTGACTACCTAACTCAAAAAATACCTGTTTTTATAGTTTCCTTTATTCATGTTTATCAATAGAGTGAGTAAAGTAAAACAATTTGAAATTCAGCTTCAAAATTACGGAATATTTCTCATTTTGTAAGCAAGTGGAAAAATGTTCAATTTCTTTTCTTACATTAAGAGAAAAGAGTGCCTATGAACTGAAGAAAATAGCTGCATTACATAACGTTCATAGTTAAATACATCCAGCTAGCACAATAAAGCAAGTACCTCATTCGATGACATTAGATAGTTGGAGGCAATCGGCAGGAAGCCTTGGATCTAAGTTTCATGCTAGTTAGCACTCGCCAGTCGGCAAGACGTAACTGTGACCTTGAAGGAACTCATGTCCCTTCTGAGATTCCAACCTCAGTACCTCATTATTTATTGCATTTCGATCACTTTCAGTCGAAAACATAACCTTGTGGCGGAATAAAAGAACTATCCAGGTTCTGTGTATTCATAGAAAAGCGGTGATAACATTCCCATCTGTACGATTATTTGACTAATATCCCATACAACATTGTATTCATGATTCCAGTTACTCCTAATAACAAATAAGCAAATGCCATGAAATCCGTTTTTGAAAGGGAAAACAACTCGAAATTTTAAATTATTTTTTATGAGTGTTACATTTACTAGGACAATTCTGCTTTTGTTAAGTGTGAAGCCTTGTTTAATAATGGAATTCAAGAGACAGTTTTCACCACATTTTTGGCTCATCAACCGGATATGCTAGTATGTTGTTGGAGCCACTAATTCACAAAACTCATCATTTAAAGTTTCCAAGTACTGTTCACTTATTGTTCACTTTCAGGAAATTAAGGTCTTTCACCAAGGCTATATTACTTTGTTTTCAGTCATTCGCCCTTGTGTGCAAAGATTCTCAACATTTCACAATCCAGAGATTCTGAACTACTGGACATTGATCAAAGTCGGCTTCAGGATAATCTAGTTTTAATGTATGTCAATCTTTCCTAAACTTTATCTTATTTTCCTAATCTAGTGTTATACTGAGTGTACACCACAAATTATGTTAAATTTAGAACTCTTTGAAATGTAAGTTGAATTCAAAATAAATAAAGCGTAGGATAGGTAAACTCCTTTCCATTCACTATGGCTATTTACGCCTACTAAAATAAATTTTATATCGGTTATCACTAACTTTGATTATACACAATGTAGGCATATCAAATGTCAGGCTACTTTGACTATCTAAAATGATTTAATTGTCATGAATAAACAGCTAATGTATCCTGAATTTCAAAAGCTGAGATGTACTATGTGTTTTGTATCGAAGATAATGCAATCCATATATCACGCTTCCAATTTCCACTCAGGTGCTCTACTGTAAACATTGTTCGTCCGACGCTTACCATTTCCAGACTTCGGATTAACAGATATCTATTTTAATTGCGTATGACGCAATTCATTTTTAATCTTCTCAATTTTGCCATTAATCTATCATTCTTCCTTCCATTATTTAACAGATATACTTTACCTGCGTAAAATGTCCACCCACATTTTGACTTGCCTTAGTTGATGTTTTAGCTCGCATTATGCATTATATATAATATATATAGGTTTATACGAGGATGTGCATTTATGCAAGTTTGTATATGTTCTTTCTGTACATACTGGCGTAGAGAGACAAATTTATAGGGTAACCTGCTGAAATTGATGAGTTCGAAAAATATTATTTTTTATTTCCTGTTTAAAATATCTGAGTTAACGACATGGAACTACTTTTAGTCGTACATTTAGTGTTGTTTTAGAAAGCAACATAAGAGTGTAACAGATGTAAACTTATTCCAAACCTACCACCGTTTTAAAGTCAAACAAAATTGGAAAGCTTATTCATAGATTTTTGAAGGTTAATAGTGTAAAACTGAAGAAAAGAAAGAGTGGGTGAAACATTCTAGATAAATCTACCGACAATAAAAATGATTTTTTATTTCTACTGTTTTCATTACTGGATTAATTGTTAAGCTCTGTTCAGTACTTCATTAAAGGCAGTGAAAAATCGACTATGTGGATAAAATGCGATGTTTAAAGTGAAAAGTCAAAGCCAATTTAGAATTTCATTCCAGAAATACACAAATTCATTTATTTGGCTGAAAAGGATGGGAAATCTGACTGGGAAAAGAAATTGCTTATGAAATTATTAAATTAGCAGAATAGCTTAATTAGTGAACAGTGGAATAACTGTAATTTGTTTGATTTATTCTAAGGAACTAAAACACCCAGTACGATAGGGAACCATTGCATAGTCATATGATTTTGATATGGATGCTTCCTAAACTCCTTTTCAACCTTATCAATATACATCAATCCAGTGTTGAATTTCATCGGTTGTTTTGACACACATCTATGGTTTTGTTTTACTTTGATATTGTCATTAGAATCATTATAATTATTGTTAAATAGATAAAAGTTATGTTTCTGTGATCTACACGGATAGTCTTAACACAATAATATCACATTTTGTCATAGTAGATAATATATATACTTACAAGTATGACTGTCATTCTTATGATTTGTGTAAATGATCATTTGATTCTACACAGTAATATGCTTCATTTAGAGGTTGGAGAACAGACATAAATAGGTTTTGGGAGAAAAACACAAGCATTTAAGCTAAACTCGAGATAAAATCATCAATTTCAGTTCATTGATGATAAGTGAACGTGATAAGTCGGATTTTGAGCATCTTTAAAATGACTAGAACATTCAAAAAGAATTGCGAACACGATACAATGAATCGCTTTTAGTGTATGGGGATATGTAGTGATATGTATCAAAACAGTTACATTTGGTCGCCTGACTGGCAGTATATTGTCTCAGCAATGCCATTGTGCTTGTAATTAAGTGCGAAATCCAGCCGGGAGTTTAAAGGTTTCACCTCGGTATTATATATATATGAATGCTACTGACATGTGCATCGAATCTCCAGTAAACAAAGCAAATAAGATACCCTACCAAATAACTCTATTTGTCAAAATATCATGTCGACGAAGTACATCCAAAGTAACTAG